GCCAATCACCTAATGGAATAGGATATTTGACAGTATTAAAAATAAAGAGCCAATTGTTAGCATCTGTGTTTAGAATGAATATTGGCAGGGGTTTTTACAATTTTTACAAAGAAATATTCATAATTTTACTAAAAACCCACGAAAAAGATAATAGTTTTCTTATCTATTCTCACGTGCCCCAAAACGTTTGGGATTGGCGGAGCCTAAAATGACGTCACACGCAATTAAACTTCTGGTAAAAGTAACATTACATTGTATCGTTTGACGTTTTAATAAGAGTCGTGTGACGTCACACACTAGTAAGACGCCATATTGTCCAGAACAACGTTTTCGCGGCAACTTGAAAATGAGTTTTTGATTCGATTATTTTTACTGAAATACACAACAGAATGATGAAAATCCACTTTTTACGGACTCCATAAACATTAGTCAATAACGTGAGATCGTTTTGTAAAAACTTGTCAAATACCCAATTGCTTTGGCTATCGCTATCGCTCATTTTGTTATTACTGATAACCTAAGGTTTTTGAATACCTCACGATTATTTTATTTAATACGAGCTGACCCCGCGTACTTTGTACATGTTTAAATAATTTGGAAGAAATGACGGATCAGAGTCTACCGTACCAAAAAGGAACGAACGTCAAATGTTTGGCAGGAAAGAAGATACCCAAGGGTAGTAGGAGAGAGACGGAGAGAACTACGCTCTCCCTCTCACTCCTGCGAGAGCCTGTCCTGGGGGGGACGCGCTCGCATTGCACAAGCTCTCAGGATGTCGATGCCTCTGATGCTCCGGGGCATCTTCATCGGGGTGGGTCCGTTCGCGGACAAACACCTGGCGGGTGCGCGGACATTCGGAAACGAAAGCCGCGACCACAGGGGGTAATATAGGTATTTCTGACAGCCCTCTGTGCAGAGCCTGCCTGGAGGCGGATGAGACGAGCGCCCATGTCCTACTGGAGTGCAGGGGCGTTGCAAGATAAAGGACTTCTCTAATGGGAAGACCGAAGACAATAGTAGAGGCCTGCGGCAACATTCGGGGACTGCTGAGCTTTCTGGAGGAGCTGGGATGGCAGGACTGATGCCAATCCCCACGCAAAATAGGCACTGGGTGTCGAGTTGCGGAAACAGCCCGCCGTACTACTAAGACTAAGACGCACTACCCCTAGTGGGGACCGCGGTCCTCATAGTGCGTGTCGGGTGACGGTGCAGGAGTATTTATTATATCTGTTTTTTTTGTGGCCCTGTTCAGGGCGTTAGTTAGGGCCCTGTTTATTTCACCCGGCCACAGCTGGCTGAAATGAACAAGGAGAAATCCCACATACCTTCTTCTCGCTCCCCCAGTAGTTGAAGGATGCGTAAAGCATTACCAAGACACAAAAAAAAAATTAAAAAAGGAAAGAAGATAGAACAGTTTATATGGGAAAAATTAAATTAACATTTTTACTATCTTCCTCGCAATTTTTCCATATTTTCTCACCTTTTAAACCTTCCCTAGACCTCCACGAACATTTCAAGACCAAGATATCATAAATCTGTGTAGCCGTTCTCGAGTTTTAGCGAGACTAACGAACAGCAATTGATTTATATATATATATATTTATTATAGGTTATGACCAATGCAAAAGAAAAAAAGGCGGGAGGCATTTAAAAACCTTCGGCGGTCAGAAATAACAAAATGTAATCGTAAGGAATAGCGATAGCTATAGCAATTCCGGTAGGCGATTGGCCCCCCGTACCCTTAGCACGAACCCATATCGAATTCGTAAGGTTTGCGAGTCCGAAATGTCATTGTCAAATGTGTACTAATTTTTAGTTCTCGTTACGTACTTTGTGCCGCTGCTGTTCAAGTTTCCATACAAAATTTGACATTGACATTTCGGTTTGCAAACTATTCGAATACGATAATGGTTCGTGCTAGGGGTACAGTTCTGTAAAATAATCGAATATCTAGTAAGATTACAACAGTTTGTCAGTAGTAAACAAATGTATCAGACTTACTTGCTTATCAGCCTATGGAAATCCGACTAAAGATATTATTTTCTTTTCCTTATCACTATTTAACATAATTCATATCTGATAAAGTTAAGAATACACTAGTGAGAATTCTGAACACTCATAAGGTAAAAAAAACACTATTGACAATCACAAAACTAGATAGGACACAAGGTACATGCAAAGTGCGTTCGAGCAAGGCACTCACAGACACTGGTCACGGACACAATATCTCGGACTAGTTGGGGCCATTGTGAGTGCGAGTTCTGTCCGCTTGCACATGCGTCTATGAACTTTTTTGTGCAAAAATTTATCAACAATAAAAAGATATGACATCTGTTCAGTAGATGGTTGTTTAAACTCAACATTAAAGAATCAAGGTGTGGAGCTCGATTACGCAAGTGGTTAGCACGTTCGGCTGCGATCGTTGAAGTTAAGCAACTTCCACAGTGGTCGGTCATTAGATGGGTGACCAAAAATTTACTATCTCGAGCTCCTCCGTGCTTCGGAAGGCACGTTAGGCCGTTGGTCCCGGCTGCATCTGCTGTCGTCAGCACCCACCAATCCATACAGGGCCCGCGTGGTGGGACATGGTCCAATCTCCCTATTCTATTCATAGGGAAGGCTTGTGCCCCAGCAGTGAGGAGATTAATAGGCTGATGATGATGATGATGATTAAAGGGTCAGCAATTGTTTTTTTTTTTATGATGCAGTAATACGTTTTAGTTATTATTTGTTTATGTTTACATTGTTTCGGTTTAATTTTTGACAATAAATGAAACAACTAGATACGAGTCCCAGAGCACGATAGTTTTTGTGCATAAGGCAAAGTTGACAATCCTTTTTTTTAACGGGGAGAATGCGTTTACGTACTGTCCCCGCCCACTGGGCTAAGGAGCGGAGATGTGTGAAACTCTCCCAGCTAAAGAATAAAATACTATAATAGCTGGGAATACTCCACTAAACTCCCCAAGAACTTCGCCTCACCATAATTGAAAGTTGACAATCCTAGCGCGACCGCCGCGCCGAGCGTATGTATGCAAAGTGAAGTACATATATGAGATTACCTTCTGTACTCTATATTTTGTGTGACACAATTGACATCAAAGATGATCTCTGTGTAATAAAAATCTATTTTTACTTAAGCAAGCAAGATAATGTTTACAATATTTTTTAACACTATACAGCACCTGTTACTGGTTGTCTGATCACTATCAAATGATTTTCAACCTTCACATCTTATTTCTATTTTGGTTGTCGCAGAGCATAAAATATAAATTGAGAGTAAGAGTGGTACCCACTGGACCTTCATAATAGGACCTAATTGAACTCCTTGATCATGGTACACTCACTGGACCTACATGACAGGACCGATTCGACCTCCTATCATAAAGATTATCACACCTGAATGACCCCATATTTATATTGGTCTAAGCTAAAGAAAGCTAAAGTTACTAGATGGGCAGACGAGATTAAACAGACGGTGGGAGTTTACTGGAGAAGAATAGCGCTAAACAGATCTGAGTGGCGAAGATTGGAAGCAGCATTTCTCCAAAGATTGGAGCATCAGCATCCTGTAGAGGCTGGGGGAGGTTTTGTGTCACTGACACGCTATTTTAACCACTAAAAAAAAACAAATTTTCAAACACATTTTGTAAACTGGTTGGTAGCTTTAATAAAGCTTTTTTATTTTATTTATTTATTTAAGTTAAGGAAAACTCTCAGGTAATAATAGTGAAATGTTGCCAAAGGAAAAGCCCCGTTAATTTGTTTTTACTATTTGGAAAAATAGTGACAAGTTACTTTTCTACAGTTCACAATAGTAACCAATGTTCGATAAAACACACACTATATGCTAAGTTTCTCCATGACCCTGTGTATCCATGGGCTTTTACTACCGCATTGGAAAGTAAGCAGGTTCCATTATCCTGACAGGGAACCCTTATAGTTTTGTTATGTCCGTCCCCGGTTTTGTTTGGAGACTGTTAGCACTAGAGAGTTGTAATTTTGTGCAGATATGTAAATCAATCATACCGACAAAATGGTTCAATAAAATTTTGTTTTTTTTTATTATCTACCCCATTGTGTGGGGTATCATTGAATAGGTCCTTTAAAATTACTTAGGGGTCCATAAGACTATATTTCAATTTAGAAAGAATTTGCAAGCAACTGTGTAGTTTTTACTTTTGGACCCTGGAAGTACAGTATATCCGGTTGGTAGCCAGTCCCTCTTAATTGGTTGGTAGATCTACAAGAATTTCTCGCATCATAACTTTATATTGGTAACTGTTAACCATTTTGTTGAGGTTGTGATTAGCAGTGGCTGGTCGGTTAGGTTTTTTGAATAGGAAAACCTTTATTTTTTCTGTTCCTTGTCATTATATTTTCGGTTACTTCTTGTCATGTTTTTAATTTTGTGAATAAGTAAAATATTTATTTTGTGTGAATTTGTATTTCTGAAGAATATATTTATTGTGTCCTATCTTCGCAGATTTTATTTGAAGATAACACGATCATCGGGCTTCACTTGTACGAACCTTCACATATTTCGTATTCTACTCTTGTCTCTTCTTATATTTTATTTGTTACCCAGAGTTACTGCCTGTGCTATATTCCATTAACAATTTTATGTTTAAGTTTTGGTCTGATACAAATTCACACAAGTTTAATTTACTGATAAAGTATACTGGAAAATGTCTTTACAAAAACACCATCCCAATTGTGGACTATAATTGTCAATAATTAAAAGATCTTGCAATACCAAGTACTCTTTTAGATATTGTATGGTGATTTATGTTATATATTCAGTTATGTTACTGATTCTAATAAGATTCTTACTGTAATGTAACATTTGTAACACAGGTTATTAGTTCACTGATAACAGGGCCTAATTTAATTAAAATTTACATAGCGTAATAGGAAGCTAAACCAAACCTACCATTACATACAACATTCACAGCTTAGAAACTAAAAAAAAAAACATTATTTTTAATTTCGGTACTTACAGTCGAAGGAAATCTCTTCCGGGCAGTCACTCATGAAATCATAACTTTTTTATGCACTTAATTGAAGAGGGAAATTCGTAACAGCCGGCGGAGTAGCGCGTTGCGAAACATCGTACAGGCGGCGGGTCAGGCTCGCATACGATATATTGGGATGCAATAGAATTCACCAATTTCAACGAATATCAAGTGTCGCACGCACTACGCACCGAGCCGGCTAAACGAGCTGCCCAATTACGAGTCCTTCGGTCCAATTTGAGACTGTTTAGCAGTTTTACGCTTCAAGAATGAGCACTAACACATCACACATGAAACAGTTGTACAAACACTTCAATATTTAATCAATGTCTTAACTTTTAAAAATTGTAATCAGTATGGCATAATATTACAATGTTATCACAATTTGTGCTTTAATTTATCCTTTTTTAGAGTATTCTGACGTGATGTGATGGATGGATGGATTTTTATGTCGCATTGTCGGGAAAATTTGTTCCGAGGTAAGTCCGGCTGTCAGTCATCAGCAGGGTTGCCAATGTTTTTGTTTTAATTCCTACATAAACATCTCTCGACAATGGATGTTTCTGTAACGTTTGTTTAAAATAGCAATTTCTTAGTCCATAAAACAAAACGGAAAAAGTCCCTATTTATTATACGGTCCTATTCACACATTTTGCATTTAGTTATCCTATTTTACAAAAAATATTTTCTAAAATAACTATGGGTGATGAAAATCCTCCAAATCCAAGCGTCGAATTACATTTAGTTCCCTTTAATTATTTAATTAATTAATTTACCAAAATTAATTTATATCTACCAAACAGAAAATAAAAAAACCACAATATGAAATTTATTTGTAATATATAGAAACTATTTGTTTCTTAGGTTTCACGCACATCACTCATTAAATAAAACTATTAAATAATAATAATTTCTATTTTTCAATATAATTTCTTTTTATTCTGACGATGCAGACCTCAAAAGGCTGCGAAACGTCAATAAATAAATAAAGTTTCGTGCATTAACCCGTAAAAACTAGTTTTATTTATATAGAAAGTATATTTACTTTGATCTAGTAAACAAAAAAAAATAAAAGAAGTAGTAGTAGTTAGTAAAACAGGGAAATTTTCGCGTTTTCCTGTTCGATACCACAGAGTACGAACATTCGTTTGGCTACATTATAATAAAGCTATCTGGATCTCTAATAATATCCAGTACCCCTAGCACGAACCAAAATCGAATTCGTATCGTTTGCGAATCAGAAATGTCATTGTCAAATGTGTACTGATTTTTAGTTCTCATTACGTACTTTGTGCCGCTGCTGTTCAAGTTTCCATACAAAATTTTACATTGACATTTCGGTTTGCAGAATATTCGAATTCGACAATCGTTCGTGCTAGGGGTACAGATCCAGACATTTTTCAAAAGGTTCAAAAGAGGGGCTTCATTAGGCTTCATTCAAAAGAGAGATTTAAAAAAATAAAAGAGTTTATGGCGGGCTTTCATCAAAAGCGTTTGGCGCCTCATTTTAATTATTCTTAAACTCGTTAATAATGGATATTGTGAAATAAAATTGGTATGATTTTGTGTTCAATCATCTGCGCAAACGTAAAATTAGTGGAATCTTTAAAATATACGCTATTCCGGTCAAGTCGATGTGAGAACTTTATTGTAGTGTTGACTACCTAACAGAAGCTTATCGAAAAAGCCAACTCGATATATTTCATGCCAAATACTCCAAGAAACATCAGAATGCGTCACATCGACATTCTAATGTAAAAAAAAGAATAATAGAACTTAAGACTAAGCTGTATGAGCTTTGCTCTCTTTGCCTTCTCTAAAAATAGATTTAAAAAAAGCCAAATTATTTAGGGATGTCCTTTGTATCGATATTCTTGACGGAATGTATCTTACTTACCGTCCGACTGTTTTTTTTGATGCATCGGGTGTCGTCTCAAGTGTTTTTAAATTAAACCTGCATTATTTTATAATATCAGGGTTTATTTTAACCTATAGTAAATGATTTAGAGAAAGATTAGAAAATGTAAAACAAAAATATTTTGGTTTCTCTACACATATTTTTGTTACAGTGGCCAATCTTGAAGGGTTTGATCACAGTTTGATACGTAGAAATAATTATTTTAATAGCCTCTCTTGTTCTGGTGATGCGGCAGTCATTTATAGTGTGATTGGCCAACTAGAAAAGGCAATCGGAGGGCAGAGAGGTTAAAAGTTTGTTTATCTTTTTTAGAAAGATTAAATATGATTTGATCTGACTTTTCGATCCGATCCTCATGTATCAATCTACGGATCGAGAGCCATTGTATTGATATTCAAATCAGGGTGGATGTGGATCGTATTCCTTTGTATCGATTCACACAAGTATCAGATCGTATTGAACATCCCTAAAGGTATTGTTTTGTTGATTGACTTTTGTTTTTGAATAAGTTGTGTAGTTTGTTACGTTTGGTGATGTGTTAATACTAAAAATGTGTGAAATATTGGTTTAAGTTGAATTTATTTTTAATTCTTCATAATTAAAGATGTCTTCTTTTCTTTGTTTTATATGTCATAGTACGGTGAACGCCAATACTAATGAAGAAACTCGCGAAAAATATAGAGAAGTGGTTGGCATGAATGTAAGTTCGAATTTATTTTAAAATTATAATATTCTATTGAATTTATGAAATGACCATACTATTGTCAGTTAGCCATAAGATCCTTACTGATAATCCCATATACTAGGCTTAAAAAAAACAACCAAAATATAACTTAAAACTCTAATTTAATTTTATCATTTGTTTTCTTACACATTATGGTAAAAACTCCTCTTAGTAGGTACTAAATCAAGCCTAACAGATTGGGGTACTTAATTCCATTATATGTAATTGAATTTCGGGGTAATTTGTAGGGGGGGTGGAGGGGGGACTCCCCCCGACCCCCCCGCCATAAAAGATTTTTGGCGGAAATGCAGTTTTTTTTTTACCTAACCTAAAAATTCATTAAATCTGTTAAATGTAGTGGAATTTCAGGGGGATAGGTATTAGGGAAGACCCCTCAGAGGGAAGGGCTTCCTTCGTTTTTTTACAGAAATGATAATTATAAAAAATTAGAGGGGTTTTAAAGGTAAAACTGTACTTCCAGGGCCTAGAGATGATATTTGATTTTTTTGTAGAAAAAGTCTCTATTAACGAATTTTTCTTTCTGGCGCTTCGCCGGCCGCTCTCGCGGCACGCTCGCTTCGCTCGCTCGGCTCGCGCGTTAAGGTCACAACACTAACCTAACCTAACCTAGTGTGAAGTATCACCACACAAGCGGCTCATTAGAGTCCAAAACTCGCACTACACTCGACTCTTCAGGCGAAGGGCCAGCAGAACTCGAGGTCGAAGGCTTTGAGGATGCCATGGTAGTCAGACGACGTTAATATCAACAGGAGTACGAAAAAGCTCTCAACTGCGACGAACACAAACACTGACTGGCAGATCTCATTAATGGCGGTAAATTGTCACATTTTGACAATAGTACCAACATAATAAACTTATATTTACCATAGACAACGAGAAACATGTTATTTTTGCATAAAAAAATGGCAGCACTGATCAAAATTGCTGTCAAAATTGACTCATAACCTACAAAATATTAATTTTCAATAATTTTTTTTTAGAGTTCTATTCGTTTCCGCCTAAAAAGATTTCGTGTACGTGTTTTTAATAGTTAACACTTTGCGTGACAAAAATTTCAGCTTGCAACTCAATTACATATAATGGAAAGCTGAGCCCAGATTGGCCACACCATGCTTCTATTGTATGAGGAGCTGGCGAACAAAACAGAATAAATATGCATTTGGTCAAACAATTTATTTTTACAGTGTGGAGGTTTCATACCGTTGAATTTGAATCTCAAATAATTTTCAATCAAAACCTCCTAAAACAGTGTTAAAATTACTAAATTTATAAATTATTAATTAGATATAAGAAGAGGCGTGAAGAAGCAACATGCAGGCCGGCAGGGTGAGGATGGCTGGTGTGGCAGGTAGAACTGCTGTATCAGCTATCTTCGCGTCTGGACTTCACCTTCACTGAATATCAGGTGGGGTGGAGTCATTTTGTCGGACCTATCTATAAACAAAAAAAAATTTTAAGAAAATCGGGAGCGGTGGTGTGCATTAGGGGAGACCTATGTCTAGCAGTGGATGAGCTTGGGTTGATGATGATGTCATTGAATTTTATACAGCTCCTGTAAAATTAAATTTTATGTAATTATAGCGTTTTTTTACCAGCTCCAAATATATTACCCTCTGAAGTGATGGCATCCCAACTTTCGGCATCTGTTAATAATCCGTCAAGTGATGACATGCCAACATTCGGCATCGCGCGACTCTACGTAATCAGTGGCAATTAAAATATTCCTTCTTATTGCTATCACCTACATGCTTATATCAATTTGTAGAGGAAAGAACAGGCTAGCTATCTAGCCATTGATTAAGTCAACTGCCATATGAAATATTTATACTGTTGTCTGTGGAAGTTCGTCGTTCGCCGTTTTTTGTATGAAAAAAAATATGCCGTGTATTCAGACTATTTAAAGTGTTTTTCAGTGGTTTTTTTTTAAAAAAACACCATCTCTGGGCAAGTTAAATACATTAAGTTACTCTATTTTGATGTTTCGTGTGCGAGTTTACGTGTTTTTTTTTATAATTTTTTTGTTACATCCCTCGTAAAAAAAAAACAATAAAAAAAAGGGTTTGTGTCTTATGTTTTCATGGTGATAATTTCGATAATAATTGTAATGTTTTAATTTATAATTATTGAATACATTATCCATGATTAATATTTCGAATACAGAGAATCTCTTGCGTTAGTATTTTTGAAGAAATAAAAAAAAAACAAAAGCCGCGCAGTGTAACGGTCGTTCTAAATTCAAATATTCGAACGAAATATTTTTTCATATTATTTTCTTGTATGCGAACTAGTGATTAGTTTTTGTTTATTCTAAAGCAAATTTAATGTACATTTTGAAAAAAGAAACTGTTTATCAAAATTGTAAATACTTTTCGTTTTATCGACATAAAACTGAGATGACTGCTTTGTAGGCGATTTTAAAATGCCTTGTTGTAAGTTCTTAGAACTATAAAAAAACAAAGTACTATTCATGCCACACTTGTTTCTAAAGTGATGTTTACAATCTTAGCTAACCGTAAACCCATAAATCATGGCACTCAGGCCGCCCGTCTGCGCTTATCGCCGCACAGTGGTCCGGATTTTGAATATAGTGGTCTTAGGAACCAAGGTTAATATTTCGCGCTGAAAAAATTCATGCGGACAGATAAGTGAACGCTCATCAACTTTTGTTCTAGCAATTTCCATGTAATCGTATATTTTCGCGAAAAAAAAATAATTAAGAAAAAAATGTATGGAGCAAAACTGAAATATTTTTTTTTCTCGAAATGTTTAAAAGTGTTAGCAATGAAATCATTTGTAAATTATTGTATTACATTTATTTATTAATTTCACCAACAAATCTTTTGCATGCACTTGCAGCTTTGGTGTTTATGAACAGATTAACTTAAAATATATTATATATAAAAAAATACATGGAATCAATACTTTTTTAGTCTGTTAAGTGGTTTTGGGAAAGTACAATACTAATATATAATTGTCTATATCAACACAGACATCAAATTACAAAATAAAATAATTATTAAAAATTGTTTATTGCATATTTCTTACAATAGAATGTAATAATCGAAGGTGGTTTATACTTTTAATTTCAAAAAATATGAATTAGTACAATTAAACAAGAATAATAAAAATATAATAAAATGGTACAAGTTAACTAAACATACAAAATAATACAAAGTAATAAATTAATATAAGAAAACTTAAAAATCATTCCAAAGGATCTGGCACATTTTGTGGAGCTTCTATTTCTTCATCTTCAACTTCTATTATTTCTTCTGTTATTAATAACTGCAACGCTTCTGGAAACATACTTGAAGATTTAAAATTGGCGTATTTAGGTTTCAGATGAGATATATATGGATCAGAAAGATATCAAAAAATTGTGTAAAATATCTTCATTATTTTGAAATTTTCCTGTTTTTCTCGTGTGGCGCTCTCTGGTATTTCGGAAGTCCTTATTTCTTGCTTCTGCTGCTTCTTCTGACAAAATTCCTATAGGAAGACAAGAAAAATGTTTGCATATGTCTGCGCCATGTATCAGCATTTTGTGTACGTTAGAAGGCATGTTGTACCAAGGGTAGTGATGTACAAAGAGTTCAGCAGTCTCCTTGCAGTATCCACGGAATCGATCGATATTGACAGCCTTTCCAGAAGATAACACTTGCAATATGACTGCGAAGTGTTTTATTAAATCAACATCAATCTTCGTTACTTGAGCTGTCTTTTCGTATTCTCGGAAAAATCTTCTGGCCGTGTTCCCATCATTTGTAGTTCCAAAGCCCTGCTTCACAAGATCAATCAAAAGTCCCATCTGTTGTTTGAACTCCGATTGCACCATGTTCTTTCGAAACTTCTTAAGGTTCTTGTTTTCGCCTCTTGCACTCCACATTTCAAAATCTAAATTATACGAAATGTGTAAAAGACACTCCATGCTTCGAATCCACATATGGAGTGTTGACAGTCCATATTGATATACATCTTCCCGCACAGGTCTTGAAAACATTTGAGAAAGATTATTCATTTCGCTTGGTTTTGCAAGACAAATATTGCAAGTAGCTGCAGAGGGAGTATTTGTAATTATTGTCGTCACTTTCCCATCAATCATTGTCATGTGTAGCTTATGAGTAACTTCCAAGTTTCCGCAACTTGAAACAGTCAAATTTTGTATTTCTTCCTCCATTGCCGCTTGTTCTTGCTTAACAAAGTCAGTTGTTTCCTTCGCAAACTGAAATTTAATAGGTCTGCAATAAAACGTTGAAGATGGCTTTGGATTATCCCAAATAACAATATTTTCGGCCTCTAGCTTCAGGGGAACGAGGCTGGTCATGTACACAAAGGAGTCGTCGAATTCTGCCATTTCACTTCTTTGCTTGTAGTTGCTCTGTGCTGAAGAACCATCAAATCCCCATTTACTGGTCAGCTTCAAGCTTCCACTGGAAATATTTAAATCATCACCCAACACTTGCAAAATCCTTCGCGTTGTGACATCTAAAAGTGCTTGTAGTTTCACCTTCGCTCCATCTTCTGATATTATTATATCTCTGGCATCTGGATAACACCTTTTCTTAGCTTCTAACAACTTGTGGTAAGACGGAAGCTTCAACTGTTGTGACAATGCAGACCGTAAAGTGAGGTACTTCCACTTTGAAAGATCCAATGAAGTAGTTAGGGCACAAACTTGATCTTCCTGCATAGTCTCTTCCTTTTCGTTCATAAATAAAAATGATTCGTCAACTCCAACCTTTTCAGGCTTCTTCATAAGATGATCGATGATGCGAGCAAGAACTTCTTTTCCATTAGACTTTAGTTTGGTGATAAAAGCAAAAGTCAGTTCCTCTTCCGGATAGTCAAGTAATGTACCCGATCTCCTTTTCTTCTGCTTGTTTCCTAGGTCTTCAAATGGCTTTCTTGATACGATGTCTGTACAAGTGCTCATATCAATAGTCGCCTTCGAAGTA